TCTGGCATAAACTGGTTTTTATATATGTTCACACACATTTAATACATTTTTATGAGCAATGATTAGGTACTGCCAAGATGAGGCATTTTGATACAATGTAAAATACATGCATTATGGAAAATATGAATGACCTTTTTCATATATATGGAAAATCTGTTAATAAAGCGAGTGACTGCCACCTGTCAGCAAGAGATACTGAGTTTTAAACTTGGTTTAAACAGCCTACGTTGTAAAATCTCTCTATTTAAAATCTAATTTTAGTCTCGTCAGTCCTCATTTCTGTGGCAAATGGAATACTTCACCACTTTCATACCTTTAAAATAGTTATACCTTGTCTCCTCTCTGAATTTCAGTCTCAGCCGGCTTTGTCTGCTCCCCAACCTGTCCTGGAGGACCAGGAGGTCCTTGCAAACCTGGTGCACCCTATGGTCATGGCAGGGAAAGAGTGGCAGGTTTAGTAATTCAGTAAAAGCTCTGAGAAGACAAGCTTGAGGCAGAGACTGAACATAACTCTAGTAAAAAAGTGACGATTATGGTACCTTTTCTCCTTTGGGTCCTTGGAAATTCAAACCCATATTCCCCTGTTGAGAAAAAACAGAGGGAGGCTGTCACTTCAGGCTCAGTGGAGTATATTTCATGACCAAGAATAGTTCAAAATGTATTATCATTTTGTCTTTATTTACTAAAGATCAGTTACAAAGTGTCTGATCTCACCTTAGGCCCGGGTGGACCAGGAGCACCTGGACGACCCTGAAAAACAAACCAAGAAACAGTTGGCCTTCAATCTGATGCTATTTGTGCAACTTTCTTGAAAAAAGGTTTACGCTGTAGCAGCTTCTCTTTACCTCAAGGCCTCTGGGTCCTGGGGGACCTACTGGACCTTGTATACCTGGAGATCCAGGTCGGCCCTGTGACATAAAAGGAAAAAGATGTACAGACAATTGGTAAAACATACAGTTAAAAACCCCCCAAACATTTTCATCCTTTTGCGTCTGCATATTTCCTTTCATTCTGTTTGAGTCTGTGAGCATTTCTGTGAGCGTGTGAGAAATTACAGTCCTAGCTCTAAAAATGTTTCCATAAGCACAAACAAATAATGTAAATAATTATAAATACAGCAGACACCTTGATATGTGATGGTTTTATGTTTATAATATTGTATTGGTCATATTTCAACTTATAAATGATCAAAATTAAACAGATTTTCATTTGTCGCATTATTAAACAGACCGGTTTGACATCTAAAGCTCAAGTTCTGTTCATTCATTCATTTTGTCTTGTTTTTTTTATACACACATCATTCTGACTTACGTATTTGAATTTTTTTTAATCTGCATGTGAATTTAATTAAATGTGTAAATTAGCTTTGGCAGCACAGTGTTTCTAAAAGGAGAATATTTCACTCACAGGACCTCCTGGCAAACCGGGTAAACCCACTGCTCCTTTCTGTCCGAAACGATTGGTGGAGATAACATCACCTGGGTCTCCCTGCAAAGAAAAGAAAAAGAGATGCTCAGATATACATTTGTCTTCATAAAGGGAAAGAACCTGAGGGGAAAAAAGGAAATGTTGCTTCTGAATATCAAACAATGTCAAAGAGCACCATCTAGTGGACAAATACAGCAAAAACTCAACTTGACATCAGTAAAAAAAAAAAGTTAGAAAAATGTTAGAATTTGATTTTATAGAAACCTAAAGGAGCGGCAGGAGTAGAGCTTTCACATCTGTGTGTTTCACAGCAAACACTGACAAATAAATTAGTGAAACTCTTATTTGTTTGTTGTCGTGTTGTGTTTTTTGTTTACATGAATAAATAAAAGATACGTGATTTTTTAAAAATTATTTTCCATGGTTTCATTTTCAAAACAGAACTTTTTTTTTAATGTGTAATGTTTATTTTTTTGTAATGGGCTTCCTGGTCCTTTCCTTAGAAACCCCGTCTTTGGCCTTTTAAACCTGGACATGCCCGCTTGTTTGTAAAACCCCACATCTACACATGTATTTTTCCACATTTCCCCAGTTGAGAAGGGAATTTTTATTTACTTCATTAAGTAAGAGTTAAATTAAGGTCTACCAGCCATAACAAGTTCAAAGCACAGTCAAGTCAACATTTCAAATTAGAGCCTTCCTCTGAGTTGTGTGGTGCTTCTAAAGCTGTAGATATATCAGCCTACAGTGAGATAGAAATCTGTATATTAGTACAGAAATTGCTGACATATCATGTTTTTAATTCAGAACAATGAATGACAAGAATAACAAAGAAGTAGATTTAAAAGGATCTAAGATCTAAAATGATTATTTTACCTAAATGCAACAATTATTTTCATTGATTGTCATACAAATTATATTATAAATATGAGACAATAGGAAAGTAAGTGACAATCTGGTCTTCTTTTGTTTCTAGCTGGTGGAGGACATAACTTAAAAAAAATGATTTCAAACCTTGAAAATTAAGTTATATATTTTTAATCAATTTTTAACATTAAGAGCATTAGTAACAAAGTTACAAAATGTGTGTGTGCTGATTTTTACCTTTTGTCCTGGCAGACCAGGTGGACCCTGTAAATGAGTAAAATAGAAAAGTTTGAAAAAACAAACCAAAACCAGACAGATCACTGTGATGCAAACTTCATCCTGTAATGACTCACTTGAAGTCCTGGCTGCCCAGGGATTCCTGGACTTCCTGGGAAACCCCTGTCACCCTAAAAAAGGAAAAGGAAAAAAAATAGAAAGACAGATACGCTGAGTGTCAACAATCTTTTTTGGCTTTAAGACATTTATCTTCTATAACTTGCTTTATTGATCATAGACATTTTTATTAGATACCTTTGTTCCATTGCAACCCGGCACTCCTCTTGGACCTGGCGGACCATCCTGCCCGGGTAGACCCTGATACACAGGAATTAAAACAGGAAGTTTAACCATAAATGCTGCATGATTTTAAGTTAGCTAGAATTATTTTAGCTCTTTAAATATCTCACTGGAAGTCCGGGTGTTCCTGGAAATCCTGGTGTTCCTGGAGGTCCCTGATAGAGAGGGGAAAAAAAGAACATGTCATTTAAAAGTTGAAATGTGTAAAAAAAGAATCCAGTGTTGAGTTTTTTCAGGACCTAGCTGACTGTTATAAATAAGGTAAAATGGGGGCACCTGCTGGCCAAAGTAGAGCATTACAACCCCAAATTATTCAGTGCTGAGAAAGCACTAAAAAGTCATCCTGTTTATTTAAACGGGGAAGAAAAAAACAGGTGAAATTTACCTACTTAAAAAATGTAACTACCTTTTATGAGTGTGTCTGTGTTTTTAAAAAAGCATAAACATTCATAAACTTCTATAAAGAAATCAATAAAATTATGGAGCCATGTCTTATGTTTCTCAGTGTGGCAACGGCTCAAAATCCCTATGAAGTCTTTAGGAAAAATGGGGGAATTACTTACTCTAATTCCTTTTGGACCACCTGGTCCTTGAGGTCCATCACTTCCCTGAGAGAAAGAACAAACAAACAAGATGAGCCTGATCATCTTTGACTCCACATTGTGAGCAGCATCAAAGACCAGTAACAGCCAAGTAATGAATCTACAGAAGTATTACTGTAGAAGTAATGGAAAACTTACTCATGTCCTTTACTTAAGTAAATATCCAAACAGGACTACTGTTAAAAACTAAACGTATAAAAGCTAGTGTTCTCATGAAACTGTACTTAAAGTTAACCATCAGAACCAGATTATACGCTAAAATCAATTCAAAACTGCTCAGGATTTGTGTAAAGCTTTAGAAGTAAAAGCACTCAAATCGAGCCTTTACGGGATTACCGCTGCGTGTGAACAGCGTCGGCACCTGAAGGTTCTTATCTACGTCTGATATTATCCTGCCTAGCAACCACCTAACAAAAGCCTAAAACTACCTATTTGTAGTGTTTATGGACCTGCAACACCTGAATGCTTTGTGTTACTTCAAATTTACAGTAACATCATATTCATATTAACCAAGCTGAATTATACACAAGTATATTATAACATTATCATGTTACATGGCAACCACCTGGCAGTGGCAAGCCATTATTTTAACACTTATGCATGTTAAAAAGCATTATATCACTTTCAACAGCGCAAAGACGCTGAAGTCTGTAGGATTTTCTGTTGTATTTGATGCTTTGACAAACAAAAATGTATCTTATACTTATCCAGGCCAAACCCTTTTTTGTATGGAGTGCAGGAAACATGCTTAATGCAGGAAAACATCATCTATACATGTAATGACATAACTACCTAAATATTTAGCAATTATTCACATTATTGGCCCTAATTATTTAGTCAGTTTGTTGACCGACAGTAGCTTATAAAAAAAAAATCATAAAAGTTACCCAGAGCCTTATGTTGGGGTTTTTCCCCAAAGAGGCCAAAGAAAAATCACCAGGAGTGTAACTGAAACATCTTTTTTTTTATCTGTTTATTTACTCAATCACTCAAGCACAACAGGCACAGATTTTAATAAAGTAACAGTGACTCATTGTTTTTCATTTGTATATGCACTGCCACCATCCAAAGTCAGAAAATAACCCACGTCTCAGAAATTGATATATTCAGAGTTTCA